CACTAGCACTATCACTAGAACTAACACAAGACCTAGAACTAGAATCATTCGGGTTTAGCCGTCTTGAGAGACGTGTGGCTAAACCCGAATGATTCTAGTTCTAGGTCTTGTTTTAATTTTAGTGACAGTGCAATACTAGAACTAACACAAGACCTAGAACTAGAATCATTCGGATTTAGCCGTTTTGAGAGACGTGCTGCTAAACCCGAATGTTTCTAGTTCTATAGGTTTAGTGTTAGTTCTAGTTTTACACTAGCACTGTCATTATTGCACGTCTCTTAAGACGGCTAAACCCGAATGATTCTAGTTCTAGGTCTTGTGTTAATTTTAGTTCAATAAAAATATGCAACATAGTGATGCCTTTTCTTATGCTACCTACCACTGTCACTAGAACTAGCATTAGACAACATTATTTTATTTTTCTATATTATATTTATTTACAGCATCACCTCCGCCGTAACCGACTTCGACTTGATCAAGTAATATAATATATTCTTTGCCTAATTTTAATCAGGTAAACTAAGTTTAGCCGAGGTCGCTTACGGCCGAGGAGCTACATTTCATGCCCTATCAACCTAAATCTTAATAGCATGATTCAAATTAATGATAAACTTCGCAATGTTAAGAAAGAAACTATTTTTGATCTTAAACAAATCAAAGAGTTTACCGAAACATAAAACGTTTTGTTAAAAGATTTTAATTCCTTTTATTTTATCTTTTAATGTCATAAAAATAAAACCTTTTCACCATTATAAAATGAGAAGCCCTTTCACAATCCAATTACGTTGACATTCGAAACCGTTTTTTTTATATTTTGTGGGCGTTGATATTCCCCATGACATTTACCAACCATCGACCATCGGATTTTTCGTTGTAAAATGGGGCGAGGATACTGCAGAGGTCTAAAGGGGGGTCGATGATAGCTCCTTGTGTATCAGGGGTTAATTGCTTGTGCAGTGAAACCGCACCTTAGGGTGGATCCTCAACGACTAGAAATCACGTGGTTTAAAAAAAGGAATGCTATAATAATATAAAAGGGTGCAGCGACATTAAATTTAAAAAATTAACTTGTTTATAAACCAATTAATTTGTGCTCGCTCATCATCGGAATGGTTTGCATATCCATTAACACCGTCAATTTCTCCACTAAAATAGCAAATTCATTAACACGGAGGGATATCTTTGAACATTGGTAAACACACGCGTCTGCAGTTATCAGCGTTCTCAAGAACGATTTATTTTTAGAAATCCAATAATACGCGCACCCACATTTTGATTTCGAGTGTACTCGAAAATTTTCATGGATTTATGTTAATTGCGATTTCTAAAAAAAAGTTTTGCAATGGGTTTTAATAAGCCATTGTTTTTTACAAACGGTTTGTTACGCTTCTACGCGATTCCTTTCGTACGATTATCTAACTTGGACGCGTTTTCACCATCCGTAAACGGTGTGATGTATTGCAACTTTGTAGAGTGTGTCATAAATTTTCTACAGTTACTAGTAAACATTTATAAATTACTATGTAACTATTAGTACGTACGAGATTAATAATTTAACTAGAGGATTAAGTTTGAAACGATGCGATTATATTAATAAATAATTGGATTAATCCCAATGAATAAATTAATCATTCTTTTTATAAACATATCAGATAAAAATGATTCAATTAATCCTTTGTCACATCTACAACATAATTATTACACAGTTCGAAAATATTTTAACCCGCCTTAAAGTAACAATAAAGCTCGTATTTTTTTCAATGTGCAATTCAATTTCAACTGGTATAAACACATTTCTCAACAAGTAACATTTTCATCTCATTAACCTCGCCTGTTATAAACATTTTTTTAACGCCGAACTCTCTTTCTCCTACGCTCCGCTCTAATGGATATTTTTAAGTCACACTTCTCTAAACTTTTCCTACTCGAATGGACATCTGCTTGTTTTTCGCATTAAAACGTTAATGAAAGAACTCAATCAAATTTCTTTTAAATATTTAACTTGTTGATAATGGAATTATCTATGACTCATACAAACCAATTTCTTTGGTTTTAACCACATCCTAAAAAAACAACACAATGATAAAATACTAAAAATGTTTTATACGGTTTTAGATTTTTCTTTCTATTTGTTTTGTTGTGAGCAGCATTTTTTAAAGCGTTTTAAAACCGTTTGTTACGACATTATAGGAAAGCGTGTAACCAATGAAGACGTGAGAACTAATTTTTTATTTTGTAAACGTCTGCGTAAAGTGAATGTTGAATAGTTTCAATTCCATTATACTCCAAACACGTACAACTCTTACTATTTAATTGAATTGATACTTTTCTTTACTTAAAACTAACGTAATGAATAAATAAAATAAAACTTATTGTTAGCATATACAGTGAATTTAAAAAAATCCAATATACAAAACTATATTGAAAAACTATATTTGAAAACTTGATTAAAAGTTGATATTGAAAACTATATTTGCATAGAAACCAGGGTGACTCTACATACATACTTTGTCTCACATAAAATGCAACATGTCTGAATGTTTCTAGTCTAGGTCTAATGTTAGTTCTAGTTTTACACTAGCACTATCACTAGAACTAACACAAGATCAAGAACTAGAATCATTCGGATTTAGCCGTCTTGAGAGACGTGTGGCTAAACCTGAATGATTCTAGTTCTAGGTCTTCTTTCAGTTTTAGTGATAGTGCAATACTAGAACTAACACAAGACCTAGAACTAGAATCATTCGGATTTAGCCGTCTTGAGAGACGTGTGGCTAAACCCGAATGATTCTAGTTCTAGCTCTTGTGTTAGTTTTAGTGATAGTGCAATATTAGAATTAACACAAGACCTAGAACTAGAATCATTCGGGTTTAGCCGTCTTGAGAGACGTGTGGCTAAACCCGAATGATTCTAGTTCTAGGTCTTGTGTTAGCAACAATTCAACCAGTCATTTTGACATTTTTAAAGATTTTCGCAAAATATCCAGAAAATGATGATAGCCAATCTGGAACTTATTATGGATTATGCTTTATTGGTTCAAAATGAACAACTTTCATTCACCATATTTTTCTTATATCTATTTTAGTTTTTGAGCAGTGATCAATTTTTTAATGTAAACCAGAAATTTTGACATTTTTCAAGATTTTCGCATGGAACCTAAAAAGCTAGGTTAACGATCATTGTTTTTTGTATCAATATGAACAATTTTATATGAACAATATTCTTTTTGATTATTTGTAGCTTTTAAATAATGAGACATTTTTTAGTATAATCCATTTTGACATATTGAAGTTTCTCACTTTATTCCTTCAGTGTTTCATCAGCTAAGCGGCAACTGATTATAAATAATGCATTTTTAGTTAATTATGAACAATTCTCATTAACAATATTGCATTCAATCAGTTTTAATTTTTGTGTAATAAGAAATCTTGCAATGTACACCATCCATTCTGACGTTTTTAAAAACTTTAAATTTATTGCTACAAAATAAAAATAGCTAAACTAAAACTAGTTAAGGATTAATTATGATATAACAAACAATGTTTATAAACATCAAACATAAAAATAAGTATAGCAATAAAGCAAAATTTGAAGCATACTACCAAAAACGCCTGTTATATAGGCAACCAATTATGTTAGAGTGCAAACTAGGTCACATATCGATCAATGAAACAACTCAAAAATTCTCTTTTTAATCAATTTAGCTTCTTTAATCAAAATTGAAATGTACTTACCTCCATAAATGAGGTTCGTATCCGTTTTTGCAATCAGGACAATTATTACAGCTTTGTCCAACATCTATTTCCTTAATTTGAACTCCCTAAAAAAAAAATAAAGGATCTCATATTAACAAACTACATTTAATTAATGACTTAAAAATTAAAGTTATTATCACAGCTTCACTCAATTAAGCGGTGATAAATCTGTTTTAATAATATTCTATTAAACGCACCACAATTGCAGTTAATGACGTAATTTAATACATAATTTAACACGCTTTCAAACTCATTCTATTATTAAGCTGAAATTGTTGAACATAATTAGAATTAAAAATAAAAAAATAATTCTATTTCCTCGAAAGAAAATAACTTTCATTTATGAGCATTAACTAACACCATTGCAAAAAAACTAAGTAACTAGCGCTCATTCGTCTATAAATAACCGACAATATTACACCATCGCTATATATAAACAAATTCTAAAGTAAGTTTTTTTTTTCTTCACACTAAAGAGAACGTTTTTATAAAAACCGTACAATTTCATTAGGAGAGGCTCAAATTTAACAAAGAATTCTTTTTGAACACACTCACATCTTGGGCCCATCTGTCCCTCACAAGCAAAACTGGCACCGAATTGTCGTCGTCAAGAAATCGAAACCCGCTCATGGTCGCCACAACGCATCAACACGAAGAAGACCAGAAGAAGAAAAACGAGGAGAACTCGCCGAAGCGGCAAACAAATGCCAAGAAATTTAAACACCTTCTCATTTTCGACCTGTTTTTCTACCTCCTACGTGATTCAATTACTTGACACGATTTGCTAATTTAAATATTATCAAAGAAAAAAAAGTGGCGAGATTTTTCTTTTTAAATTGTTTGGTTCATCGCTTCCAGAAAATAAAAATGTATGCGTCATAACTTTTTATTAAAAAAAACTTTTTGTTTCTCTTTGACGACTAAGCAGAAAGGTCTTATTAATCAATTCGCAAATTCAATGTCACACTCCAACGAAATGGAATAAATTTGCGGTTTCGTATACGACGATGTGGAAGCCATAACTTCGTCTTTGTCGTTTTGGTTTTGCTCCTTTTTTTTAACGATTCGTCCGTGATCTGAACAGTTTATTTTACACTATTAATATCGTTAACGATAAGGTTGTTAAGAAATTTTAATTTTTTATTTTAATTAATTCATAAGTGATTGGTTGTTTGCATTTCTCTTCCTACACAATATTTTAACATCAAAACGCCATTAGTTTAAAAGAGCTGACATTATATTGTATTTTATTTCTTTTGCAACTGCAGCAAATTAAATAAAAGATGAACTTTGTCTTTATGAGTGAGTCATTTCATAAAAATTCAATATAAGAAATAAGATATCATCTTTATGGCTTTGTTTAAAACATTTCTTTTTAAACTTATTTTATTTAAACTAGTGATGGAACGGATCTATCCGGCCATTATAATTTCTGGTAATTTCTGAAGTGATACCTTACAATGCCACATTATTGCTATATTTGAATAAAAAGGAAATTAATAAGAAAGCTGGTTAGATATGTCAACTTATTTGGATCCAAGATACAAAATGAACTTTTTTGATGCTGATTTAACTAACGAAGCAACTCTAAAAAGAGGATACTTTAATTAATAATTGGCGATATTTCCACAAGGATCCTTCAAGAAATTAATTTTATCGTTCGGGTTAATTGAAATT